CCAAATTCACCTCAATGCACACCCTTGCCTCACTAGGTCGTCTCAAGTCGGTGGTGGCCTCATCAATTCTCAAGGGCATTCCTATTGCCCTAGATAAGGCGAAAAGGAACCCCTTCGCACGTAAATGTACTGGAAGCAGAGGGAACGATACCCATACGGGAACTATCGGAGTCTCTTGCTCAGGTGTAAAGTCACATGTCCACTTAAGGACTCTCATCGGACAACCATCAATATACCATGAAGGTTTAAGAAAAAGCCTGCTGTAATCCTCCTCATGTGTAAGGTGTATAAGAATGTGTGTTGTGTCAATCAGTCCCACCTCGAAACAACCATGGAACCCAAACTTAGAAAAATTCTCACGTACCTTCTTCATGGTTGGCTTGCGATGTGGAAATTTCCCCACAAGTGTATACTTGTAAGGATCAGCCAGTGTAGCCTCCTCGGACTCAGTCAAAATCACTGCCGGCTCACCCATATGTATAAAGGGTTCTTTAGCAGCAAACCCAGCAGTGGAAGAGTCATCTATACCATGTATAACCGATGTAAACGACTTCCGTGAACTCCGCTCAGCTTGAGATAGGCTTGGACGGCTAGTAACTGCAGTAGCATAGGTCTTTCGGCCCTGATTGAGCACTGTCTGGGCCTCATGTGGAAAAACCGATGACGAAAATGGATTTAGATTAACTGGAAGAATATTTTGGACAAAAGTTGCCGGAGGGTCACCGGAATGCCGCCGGCCGGCCGCTAGCGGCTCCGTTTTCCGGCCAAAATCAACCGGATGCAGAATTTTATGATTTTCAACAGTCTTGTGCGGAATTTCATGCTGAATAACGCGGTCAGGCGCGTTTCCCGAGGTGAGAACCGTAGAGGCCGGAAATCGCAATTTTTCGACAAACTGCCCGTTTACGTTTGGTGCCGTAACAGGAGCGTCCGACCTCCGATTGCCGTTGACCGAAGGTTCGCCATTTCATGGGCATTCTGAATATGTGGCGCGTGTCTCTGTTGGAGCTTCTTACGAGAATTAATTTCAAAATCAGTTTCGGGCTACACTTTTTCCAAAGTTTCAATTCCGGCGAAATTGGACGTCGAGGACACCACCCCAGGGGTTTTTGGACCTTCTGAGTTCATTGGTGGTGGTCACATATCCAAATTCTGATCAGAAGTGGGCGTTTCGATGACATTGGGATTCGTGCCATGATTTTTCAAACTTAGATCTATTGACTTGGGGGTTGAATCTGATATTGGTGTTAT